GGTATATCGGCCAGGCCTGGGGGCTCATGCTTGTAATCCCAGCACTTTCAAAGGCCAAGGCAAGTGGATCACCTGACATCAGGAGTTAGAAACAAGCCTGGCCAACATGGCAAAATCCTATCTCTACTAAAAATACAAAAATCATCCAGGCATGGTGGTGTGTGCCTGTAGTCCCAGCTCCTCAAGGGTGAGGCAGGAGACCTGCTTGAACCCGGGAGGTGATGGTTGCAGTGTGCCAAGATTGCTGCCACTGCACTCCACTCTGGGTGACAGAGTGAGACTCTGTCTCAAAAAAAAAAGAAAAAGAAAGAGAAAAGAAAAGAAAATGTGGTATATATAAACAATGGAATCCTATTCAGCCATAAAAAAACAAAATCCGTCATTCATGGCAACATGGATGGAACTGGAGGCTGTTATGTTAAATAAGTCAGGCAAAGGAAGACAAATACCACATTCTAATATGAGGAAGCTAAAAAAATTTAGTTTACTTAAGTAAAAAGTAGAAGAAAGTTTATTAGAGGCTAGGATGAGTAGAGGGAATGGGGAGATAGGGAAAGATTTGTTAAATAAAAAAATTACAGCTAGACAGGACAAATAACTTCTAGTGTTCCATAGTACTATATGATGATTACTGCTAACAATTATATATAACAATTATATACTGTCTCACCCTGTCACCCAGGCTGGAGTGCAGTGGAGTGATCTCTGCTAACTGCAACCTCTGCCTCCCAGGTTCAAGCAATCCTCCTGACTCACCCTCCTGAGTAGCTGGGATTACAGGTGTGCCCCACCACACCCAGCTAATTTTTGTATTTTTAGTGACGCATGCCAGGGAAAAGCCACATGGAACTGCTATTTCAAATAAAGTTTACCACTGCAATGTCTCTCAAATCTTCACTGAGATTTTCACAGTTTAGGTCCTCATCATATCCGTCCGGACTAGCAGCAAACCCTCCTCACAGCCCATTCTCCCCTATCTTGCTGCCAAAGAGCGCATTACTCCCCTGCCTCTTGTCCCATGGCCCACATATCTCAGCATGGCAAGCAAAGCCCTTTATAACTTTACCTTTTAAAGCTTGTCTTCAGCCTCTTTCTTTTGTCTAACATTTCTGGATCATTTATTTAAATACATTGATGTCTGGTGCTTCAAGGCCTCTGGGCCTTTGCACATTCTCTTCTTTGACACTCTCACAACACCCTCCCACAAACTTAATCCTTATTTAAACTCCACTTATTTTTGAAGCATTCCTTAACCTTGCCAGAAAGATTTTTAATTTTTCTTCCTCCATAATTATGAAGATAATGCATCTTTACCATGGTAAAAAAAATTAGAAAATAAAGAAAAATTGAAAAAATAAAGATATCCAAAATTCTACTCCTCAGTCCTAGGCAGATATGTCTGTGTCCTCATTTCTGTAAAGAACCCATTACAATCACTTGAGGTTAAGGTAATGGTTTAGATGTAAGTTTTCATTGCCAACCTGAGAGGTTGGTGCCAACTTGTTAACCCTGAACTATAACATAAAGCATGGAACTTAGTAGACACTTCACTGGTAGGAAGAAATGAACATAATTAAGGCAATGCAAGTAACTGCTAATTTAAATGTTATTACTGCTGGTATTGGTAGTCCTGTAAACACTGTCAGAGGAATTCTCTCAATAGATGTTGGCTAACAGATTATTAAAAATTCTGCTACTCTTTTTCTTTTGGTCCTGCTCCTTCTTTGTGCATTATTTTAAACCCCCTTTCCTCTTCTTCATCTCTAAGAAACAAGTCAATTAGGAAAGTCCTTCAGTATATTCAGCATTGGCAATGCCCTGGTGTGAAGGACAGAAGACCGGCATAAGGTGCAATCTCCGGGCATGAGGGACGTACACCAAGTCTAGTCTACCAGCACCTGACTCTTCATGGATTGTCTCCCGAGGGTTAGTGCTCTCAGTACAAAAAGAGATAATAATATTCCCTCTGCTTGTTCCAGAGTTGCTGTTAAGATCAAAGAGGGAAATATTCTGTAAAATATAAATGTAAGGTAATATGGTAGACAGCTTCTAAAATGGTTCCCAATGACCCAGAGGTGTCTCCTGGTAGTCACACCATTGTATAGAGCCTTATCCACGTACAGGGTTGGTCTGTGTGAGCAGTAGAACATGGCAGAAGTGAGGGTATGCTCCTCTGAGACAGATTAGAAAAGATGTGGTTTCCATCTTGGTGGGGATGCATTGTCTTCACCTCTCTTCCCCCATCTCTCTTTCTCACCTCACTCACTGGGAAAGCTAGATGTCATGTCAACTATAGAGAGGCCCAAATAGCAAGGAACTAGAGCCTCTGGCCAGCAGCCAGTAAGGAACTGAGGCCTGCCAACAATCATGTGGGTGAGGTTGGAAGTGGACCTTCCCTTTCCAGACAAACTTTTAAGTTGATTTTAACCCTGGCTAAGAGCTTGACAACCTCCTCATGAGAGACCAGGCATAAGCTAGAACCACTGAACTAAAGCCACTCCTGCATTTCTAGCTCTAAGAAATTGTGCAAAATAATGACTGTTGTTTAAAGATACTAAATTTGGGCTACTTTGTTACACAGCAATAGCACTGGATAACATATGGGTGATGTCACTAGTGCCCAGCCACATTTATACCATTTCTAAAGGTAATATTAAAGTGAAGCACTGGCTGGGCATGGTGGCTCATGTCTGTAATCCCAGGACTTTGGGAGGCTGAAGCAGGAGAATTACTTGACCCCAGAAGTTTGATACCAGTCTGGGCAACACAGTGGGATCCCATCTTACAAAAGATTAAAATATTAGTCAGGTGCAGTAGCTCACACCTGTAATCCCAGGACTTTGGGAGGCCAATATGGGAGGACCACTTGAACACAGGAATTTGAAACCACCCTGGGCAACATGGCAAAACCCTGTCTCTACAAAATAACAAGAACAACAAAATTAACTGGGTGTGGTGACTCATGCCTGTAGTCCTAGCTACTTGGGAGGCTGGCATGGGAGGGTCACTTGAGCCCAGGAGCTTGAAGTTACAGTGAGGTATGATAGTTCCACTGTGCTACAGCCCGGGTGACTGAGCAAGACCCTACCTCTAAAATAGAGACAAAAAAGTTAGAAGTAAGTACACAATTGATGCAGCTGACATTTCATTAGAGACTTTCAGTTAATACAAAAAAATTAGCAGGCGTGGTGGCAGGTGCCTGTAATCCCAGCTATGTGGGAAGCTGAGGCAAGAGAATCACTTGAACCTAGAAGGCGGAGGTTGTAGTGAGCCACGATCGTGCCACTGCAGTCCAACCTGGGTAACAGAGTAAGACTCCATCTCAAAAATAAATAAATAAATAAAAGAAAAATAGTTCGCAATATCTAAAAATAAGGTCAAACATCACATACGTGAATACAAGCCTATCAACAACTTGTCAGAGAAAACACTGCTGTAGTGTAGGAGAACCATGAGCACAATCTTTGTGAATAGGATAGCATCGAGACAGGGCAAAAAAATACTAGGAGAAATAGAGCAAAGGCTTTAAAAAGCCTCCATGAGGGAAGGCACACCAGAATGCTGTTGGAAAGATGCCAGAGCAAAAGTTAGTACACAACATAATAGTTAAAGAAGAAGGTGAACCTGGGAAGAAAGGGGATGGATGGAAAGAGGAAAGGTGGGGTGGGAAAAAGGATGCAGCAGGGAGGGAAGGACTTAATAGTTACCTACCTCTAGCCCACATGATACCTTTGTACAATTTGGAAAAGAATGCCTTTCCAAAAGGAAACAGCCCTGTGCCGAGATGCATAGTCTGCAAAGCAGAGTCTGGGCTAGACTTCAGGCCCAGTTTGTCTCCTGGCTAAATCCCTTTATGCTGCAAACAACGTGCCTAACTATACAAAGCAGTCCCAGGAAAGAGGAAAAGACCTACTAACTAACTCTGATTGGTGAAGAGGCAGGCAGGCCTTTATTTCCCTATTTTGGAGCACTGGCAAATTTCTCAGAATGGTACACAAAATAAATTTTCATTGGTATCTTTTCCCACTGTTTTGCGCCTGATGTGAAATTGTGTTCCAATAGAAAACATTTCAGTTTGGAGAACAATGCTGTTTCTGGTGAGTTGGCAGGGACTGCTAGATGATTATGGAATTTAAGAAAACCTGGTAGCTCTCATCACATAAGGAGAGATGTACTTGTGGGTGCCTAAGATTTGTGTTCACGGTTCCTTATTTAGCCTGGGGCTTTTCAGGGCTTTGCTTGACCATCTGTGGCTTTTCTGGGGCTCCCCCTCACACAGTCACTGGGGGCATCACTGCTTACTGGTAACAGGGTAACAGGCTTCTCCAGCTGAATGCCTAAAACTGAAAATAAACAATAACTCAAAAGTTTCCTTTGCATAAGACCTGCCTGCCGCCTCTACCTGCTTGTTAAAATGAGGATTCCTGAGCAGGCTCTTCCCCAGACCTACTAAAATAAAAGTTCTAGAAGTGAGCCTGGGACTCTGCACTTTGAACAGTGGCCATCAATGTTAGAAAATGACTGTTTAACAGGAAAACAAAATATGAGAAATTTCTGGGTGGATGCTATAAAAGAGAAAGGGAATTAAAGTCTCAGGACTAGCAACAGTGTACCATGTAAAGAACAAACCATGAATGATTAAATATACGCATTCCTCCATAAATGTATAGTAAAAATTACTAGAAACTTTAAAAAATTATATGATATATATACACACATACACAGCTACTGCTTGTAATCTAATTAAAAATGTTATTCAAAAATAGGTTATAATGATGTTTCATGTATTGAGTTTGATATAATAAAAGAAGGTCTCACTTTTTGAAAAATTTCATGTTGGAGAGTTGACTGTACAAAATCACTTAGTACAAAATCACTCCCTATAACCATTTGCAAAATTTAGGCTTCTACTGAAGAATCTCAGTTGATCAACTGTTAGTCCTTTCTCCATAGCACCTTAAGTGGATAACAGAGAATCATAACAAGAACAAATTTCTTACCGCTGTAAGGGGTCCTTCTGCCTGCGCCTCCATTAGACTTGTGGGTGTTGCTGCAATAAACTGACTAGCAGCTCCAGGCTGGAGTTCCAGTCCATCTGTATATTGTTCTGAAGCGGCAGTGGGAGGACCCTCTGCACAAAATGCTAAGACCACACCTGAGGTTTCCTTCTTTAAATGATCATTTTCTGCCCAAGGACCTAATCGGAGCTTTTCATCTTGAGGTGATACCTCCAGGACTTGAAGCACTTCAGGTTCCTCATCAGAAGGACTTCCAGTTGTTTTATGTCCTACAACCTCATTTGTCCTAAAATCTTCAAGGTCCTGCTCCTTGTCCACAATCACCCATTCTTTGGAATCAATCTCTTGCTTGCAAGAGCTCAGGTTAACAGCTATAAATCCATTGCTGCCACCACCATCTCCCTGCTCAGGGGTGTTGGCAGAAGCTGGCTTGGAGGCATCTGGAAGATATTCATCATCATAGTGCCAGATATGGTCAGTACGGGACACAGCAGGAACACAAGGCTTATGAAGCAGAGCAGGGAGAATAGATTCTTTTCCTGCACTGGTATCTTTCTGCATTTTCTCCAGGCTTAAGGAAACAGAAAGAAGTTACTCAATTGTCCTAAGGAAACATTCATTATATAATACATAAGCTCTATAGGGAACTATATTGACACAAAGATGAGAGAAAAAAAGATGGATAAAGCTTAAGAAAAGTTTCACAGCATTGATAATGTTCTTCTCCACCTGCCATATCCTGCTTCGGAAGATGGAGCTCAGTTCTTACCTCACCAAGGCCCTTTTTAGTTCCCTTCTTTCGTCAGACCAACTTTTTATTGAACAAAGCTTTTATCCCTACTGTACTTTGATATTTATTCTCTGAGCCACAATTCAAAATGTTTAAACCAATGCCCCTATTCATCCTTTTGATCATGTCATCATGTAGATAGATATGTGCTTACATAACATAGCTATGAATGACTACCATGTGAGGAAGAACACACATATGTGAAGGATTGTTTAAAATGGAAGCTAGATTGGAGTAGGCCAGAAGTGGCTGAATTGTCTTGGTCCATAGTAATTATCAAGTTAGTCAAATTCATGGTCCCTCTAACCTAGTATTTCCCTACCAATAGTAACCACCAGAGATGTACCATTGAAGGGTGTGACTACTACTAAAGGAAATCAGGTCTTAATACTGTGAATACTGATGAAGCCTTCTATAATTCATAGATATGTCCCAAACTTTTTTCATTTCTGTCTTCTGTTACCAAAATTTGTCATAGGGGTAATGTGCCTCAGAGTCATGCACTACAGTCTTTACCTATGTATAGATCTCTAAAGTTTCACCTTCCTTTCTGTCTAGGTAGATTGTGAACTCTTGAAGGCAAGCATGATATACTTATTGGTATCTATTTTCCTACAGTATCTTACTCCTAGAAGGTTTCCACTAAAGTGAATTGAATTGCCTGTCCCTTGTGTATAAATTACTTTTTCCCCTCCTTCATGTATTCCCCTCATCTCTGCCTAATGCCATCTTTATCATGCCCTCTCCAATGCTACACTATTGTTTGGAAGACATTACTTTCCAAACAATGATACTGTAAAAATGTTTATTTAACTTGTATCTAGTGTTAGGAAGTTATCAGCTCCTACTGGTCAGCTCCCAAAGCCAAAGATTATGCTATGGAATTTATAATAATTAAGAATCAGAATAATATTTAAAAACATGGGTTAAAATTAGAGCTTAATAGAATCAGTGTTACAAAAATACAAGAATTTCTTATTTGAAATACTTTATATAACAGAAATATACCATTACAACAACAATAATAATGGTACCTCAGAAGCTTTAAAAAGAAAGAAAAACTATTTTATACCAGGTCTCAAGGAACTTGTCAGTGTCTGGCTTTGACTCCAGGGTCATACGTTTTTCCAGCTCAAAGCTGTGGATGGAACGTAACTTTCGCACCAATGGAATATCTCTGTCTGGCTGAGTAATCTCTGAGCGGACACGAATTGGTGACCCAAGGCTCGGAGCATTGAGAAGACCATTTGCTTGGCCATGGCTGTTCTCCTCTTCAGTAGCAGCCTATCCAAAATAGAAAATAAAATCATGAAAAACATTCTAGGCAATACACATGAGAGGAGTCACAGAAGCCTTTCAAAATAATATAAATAAATGATTAGATGCGTTTTCAGATGATTAGGACATTTTGACTAGTTTACTTCATTACATTCTTATCTTTTAACTCTTCATTAAATGTGTTTTCTTAATTTATACTCAGTTTTAGTATTATTTTAGTCTTTAAAAATATTTTTGGCACAAAGATAAACAGTCTATAAATGTTTAACAGACTTGGCTTTTTGAATTATGTCTGACTTGATGCTTGTGGGACCCCATTCCACTAACCTAAAACTGAAACCTGGAAAGGATGTTCTCTTTGAGATGTAAGTGGTCTTACAAGTTAGGAGAGGCCACCAAGCCTGAGTCGGTATACCCCTTTTCTCATTCCCCCTCTAAAAAACAAAACAACGAAAAGCCTGGGGCCAGATTACTAGGAGCTAAGGCAGCCCAGGGAGTGAGACTGTTTAAAGACAGGTGCCTATGGAACACAATTATCAGGGCAATTAAGCTTTATAGCAGAAGTATGGTGACAGAGGGAAGTCTGAGACATCTATTCTGATTAGAGACCCTTAAGAGGATCCCCAGTTGGGTCAAATAGGTGATACACTCCAGTTAGCAGCAGAAACATGAGCCAGTCTTCTTTAAAGGAAGGTTTCCCCAAATCCCAGTTTAAGTCTACAGAAATCTCATCAATGATTTCAATTATTAATTAACTTAAAAAAAAAGAGAGAATCAACACATGAGAAAGCATGCTACTACTATGACTGACACAACAGAAATAATCAAAACGAAGAAAAACATTTAAAACTCCCAAAAATTTCAGACATTGAACTGGTTTCAATACAAAATATAGACCAGCTATGCATAAATGTTTAAATAAATAAAGGCCATTATAACAAAGATCAACAAAGGGTTATTTGGATGATTAACTTAATATTAAATATTCAATTAACAAGTTAAACAGCAAGTTAGCAAAAAAAAAAGTTGAAATCAGTGAAGTGGAAGACATAGCCAAAGAAATTACTTAGAATAAAAAATAAGAAGAAAATTATGAAAAAAGATATTAAGAGATATGATGGATACAATAAAAAGGCATAATATATCTAGAGTCCTAGAAAGAGATAATAGAAAGAATGAAGAGGTAGTAACATTTAGATAGAGAATGGCTGTTATTTCCCAGAACTTATACAAAAATATGAATTAAAATGTTCAAGGAACATGAGATATCCCAAGCCAAGATAAACAAAAAGAAATATTGCCTAAACAAGAACTAAAAAGTAGCTGGGAAGGTAAGATGAAGGTGGGGGAACTGATCACTTTAAAAGAAACAAAATAATTAGAATGACAGTTTCTGAACACCAATGACTGAAGCCAGAGGAAAAATAACTATCAATCAAAAACTTTATATTTGGACCAGACTTGGTGGTTCTCCCTGGTAATCCCAGCACTTTGGGAGGCCAAGGTGGGTGAATCACTTGAGGGCAGGAGTTCAAAACCAGCCTGGCCAACATGGTGAAACTCTGTCTCTACTAAGAAAAAAAAAAAATAGCCAGGCACGGTGGCATATGCCTGTGGGCCCAGCTACTCAGGAGGTTGAGGCAGGAGAATCACTTGAACCCAAGAGGTGGAGGTTGAAGTGAGTTGAGACCACACCACTGCAACAGAGCAAAACCCTGTCTCAAAAAACAAACAAACAAACAAACATCAACAACAAAAAAAACCTTTATATTCGGCATAAACTATATTGAAAGAATAAAACTAAAATAAATACATTTACAGATAAGTAAATACATTTATAGAAAGAATCCTCTACCAAAAGACCTGAAGTAAAGGAACTTCTAAAGGAAATATTTCAGGAAGAAAGATGAGCCAAGGACTTTCAGAAATGAAATAAAATAGTAAACATCTTTGAAAGTCATATAAACATTACTGATATAAAAGAACAACATTAATAATGTAATCCAAGGCTGGGCCCCATGGCACATGCCTGTAACCCCAGTACTTTGGGAGACCAAGGCAAGCAGATCACCTCAGGTCAGAGGTTTGAGATCATCCTGGCCAGTGTGGCAAAAGCCCATCTTTACTAAAAATACAAAAATTAGCCAGGTGTGGTGGTAGGCGCCTGTAATTTCAGCTACTTGGGAGCCTAGAGCACAAGAATCACTTGATCCCAGGAGGGGGAGGTTGCAGTGAGACAAGATTGCACCACTGCACTCCAGTCTTGGTGACAGGGTGAGACTCTGACTAAATAAATAATATGATAATAATAATAATTCTAAATTTAATCAAATTAAGCTGAGCAATTAAAACATAAAGATGTACGACTGTCCACTTATATTCCACTTAACAAAAGTCACAACAGAAGAATACAGGTAAGAAAAAATGGAAAGATAAAGGAGGAAAAAAGATATACCAAAGGAAGAAAAAAGATACCCAAAAGAAAGCTGGCATAATTGTATTAACGAAATAGGCTTTAATACTAGAAAAATATAGTGGGAATAGAATAGAAATAATCACCATATAAAGAAAAACAAAACTTTTAATCACCTGGTAGATGTAAAAATTCTAAACTTGTATGCACTTAATAACTCATGGATGAAAAAAACCATTATGGCAAAAGTTTTAAAACAGAATGAGAATGAAAATATAACACACCAAAACTTTACAATACAGTAACTGAGATATTTATTACCTTCTTTCTGCTTGTCTCAGGCTCATTCTGCTGCTTGCTTTTCTAGGTTCCTGAGGTAGGATTTAGACCATTGAAGTAAAAGCTTATCTTTCCTAATGTAAGCATTTAGTGCTATACATTTCCCTCTCAGCACTGCTTTAGCTGGCTCACAAACATTTTGATATGTTGTAGTTTCAATTTCATTCAATTCTATGTAAGTTTAAAAACTTTTCCTTTAAGGCTTTCTCTCTGACCCATGGATTATATAGAAATATGCCATATAATTTCCAAGTGTTTAGAAATTTTCCTGTTGTCTTTATGTCACTGATGACTAGATTAATTCCATTATGGTCAGAGAACATACTATGTGTGATTTCAGTTATTTAAATTTATTAAGGTTTGTTTTGTGGCTCTGCTTTTATGGAATCTAACCTAAGACAGTGGTTACCTCAGTGGGAATAGGGTAGAAGCATAAATATAGAAGGAATATGTTAAAATATTCTTGTTCTTGGGGCAGATGGTGGATTCACATGCTTACATTACTATGCTTTGAAATGATATATAAACTCTTTTATATATAGTATAAGTAGATTTTAAAAGATATAGTTGTTTTTGAATTTCTCTCCTAGATGACCAATAAATTCCTAGAGTTACAAGCTCTATCCATGCACTTTCTCATATACATACATACAATATTATATATATATATTTTTTTTTTTAATTTTTTTTAATTAAAAAAATTTTTTTTTTTTGAGATGGAGTTTCACTCTGTCACCCAGGCTGGAGTGCAGTGGCACTATCTTGGCTCACTGCAACCTCTGCCTCTCAGGTTCAAGTGATTCTCCTTCCTCAGCCTCCCAAGTAGCTGGGATTATAGGCACCTGCCACCACACCCAGCTAATTTTTATATTTTTAGTAGATACAGGGTTTCACCATGTTGGCCAGGCTGGTCTTGAACTCCTGACTTCCAAAGTGATGGGATTTCAGATGTGAGCCATGATGCTCAGCCCTCATGCACATATTTTTACTTATACTTCTACTTAAACCACTTTTTCCATAAGGCATGTCCCCAACTCCCACCCCATCTGCATGCATTTTAATTCCTTTTAATGTTTTGCACAACGTTCTGTCCTGTATTATATTTGCTTGTGCAGATACATATCTACCTGAAGAGACTGTAAGCTCCTTAAAGGTAAAAGATGTATCTTAAACTGCACAGCACCTATCTTAGTAAATTGTCTTCAATATTTAGCTTAATGCTTTATCCCGATGTTGTAAATGAGAGCTTGTAATGTATAGCACTATACATTATAAATTCAATAAACTTCACATCACCATTATAACAAATAATGGACTTAGGGTCAAAACTATCATTCAAATTTCACTGAGATTAAATAGTAAAAAATGGAAACTAAAATAACTAAGATCTTCTATGTCAAGTGCCATTTCATTCTCTCACATACACAGATATCCATATGGGCTGACAACTGAGAATGTCACTAGTGATTTTTTTTTGCTATGAGAACAGTTTGTTCCTGGTGCCATAAAGCCAGCCGCAGCTGATACTACAAAAATCTGACACTAACTCCCTGTCTACTTTTCACTACTCATTCCTGATTACTATTGGTCCAGACTGTGCTTTGTCAGCAGCCAGATCACACAGTGGCACATCACATCTATGCAGAGAACGTTTTGCAAATGACTCCCATGACTGAAGATATACACCTACTATGATCTGAATGTTTGTGTCCCTCAAAAATTGACATCCTGAAATCCTAACTCCCAATGTGAGGGTATTAGGAGGTAGGCCCCTTGGGAGGTAATTAGGTCAAAAAGGCAGAGCCCTCATGAATGAGAGTAGTGTCCTTACAAAAGAGGCCCAACAGAGACCCCTTTCCCTATCTACCACATGAGGACTCAGCAAGGAGGAGCTACAAACCAGCCCTCAGCAGACACCAAATCTGCCTAGCCTTCCTTCTTGGACTTCCCAGCGTTCTGAATTGTAAGAAACATATTTCTGTTGTTTATAAGGTATCATACCTTACAAATTCCAAGCTTTATCTTGTTTTTGTTGGCATCCATCTCTTCCCAAACATCCTTCTCCTGGGGACGAGGCTGTCCCAGAGATCCAGGCAATTTATCTGGTGACACACCAACAGGGATGCCATTTTCTCCATCACTAAGCTGTTCGTCTGGAAATACCTCATCTGTATTTTCTCGAAGCAAGTCTCCTGGTATGGGAGTGGCATTGGCAATTCTAAATATAAAGGGAGGGGGAAAAAAGGGCAGACTTTAAAAGATCAGAATCAAAAATTACTATGAGACTATCTTACATCATTTTGTTTCTTCACTGAAATAAAGTCCATACATAATTAAGAAAGTTTAAAAAAAAAAAAACCCTTAAAAACTTCAGTTGGCTGGGCACGGTGGCTCATGCCTGTAATCTCAACACTTGGGAGGCAGAGGTGGGTGGATCATCTGATGTCAGCAGTTCAAAACCAGCCTAGCCAATGTGGCAAAATTCCATCTCCACTAAAAATATAAAAATTAGCCAGGCGTGGTGGTGGGTGCCTGTAATCCCAGCTACTTGGGAGGCTGAGGCAGAAGAATAGCTTGAACCCAGGAGGCAGAGGTTGCAGTGAGCTGAGATCACACCACTGCACTCCAGCCTAGGCAACAGAGCGAGACTCCGGCTCAAGGAAAAAAAAAAAAAAATGAAAGAAAAGAAAATTTAGGTCACGTCAATCCCACAAAATAAAACTTCAAAATTTTAATCAATTAGAATTTCTAAGCTGATTTAAAAATACAAATTCTAAAACAATAACACTAATTTGACAATCATTTTATAAGAAACATTTCATCAATTTCCCAGAAGTTTTTGCCAATGATAATAACATTTTCTAATCTTTACCCATTTTTGTTAAAGAATTTTTTTTCTTTTTGAGTCGGTGTTTTACTCCTGTCACCCAGGCTGGAGTGCAGTGGCATGATCTAGACTCACTGAATGTCTGCCTCCCGGGTTCAAGCAATTCTCCTGCCTCAGTCTCCTGAGTAGCTGGGATTACAGGTACCTGCCACCATACCTAGATTTTTTTTCGTATTTTGTGTAGAGACAGGTTTTTGACATGTTGGGCAGGCTGGTCTCGAACTCCTGACCTCAGATGATCTGCCGGCCTTGGCCCCCCAAAGTGCTGGGAGTATAAGTGTAAGCTACTATGCCCATTCTGTTATAGAACAGGAAAATGTTAAGTGCTGTTGAACTCAAAATAAAATATACAGATGAATCTCCAAATGTAACATTTCATTTGGGAAGTAAGAATTACAATTTGGGGCACACACAGACTGGGTGGGTCTCCGGTATGCCTGAAGACTAAAGAAGAGGCTGCAGGTTTTATTAGAGAAATGTTACGTACTGTTTTGAAAGAAAGCTCATTGGCACTAGAGAAGCTTCTGGGAGCTGGCAGGCTCTGACTGGTGAGTGACAGAGGTATGTAAATTTAGTCTTAGAGTCATAGCAGGCCATTTCAGCAGCTGGGCTTGTAAGAAATTAAATTCTTGGAGCAGGTGCTATGTGCCCCAAGTGCTTCCCCACTCCCCCAACCTCTTGATTGACTTAGTTGAGTATGACAAGAATGATCTAATTTGTATAATCAACTTTCACAGTGCCATAATGAAATAAACAGGTGTCAGATAGATCAGCTATTTTTTTAAGTGTGAAAGGTGTATTACTTTTTCATTTGCAGACTTTTTTTTTTTGAGACTGAGTCGTGCTCTGTCTCCCAGTCTGGAGTGCAGTGATGCAATCTCAGCTCACTGCAACCTCTGCCTCCCAAGTTCAAGTGATTCTACTGCCTCAGCCTCCCAAGTAGTTGCAATTACAGGCATACACCACCATGCCCAGCTAATTTTTTTGTATTTTTAGTAGAGATGGGGTTTTGCCACATTGGCCAGGCTGGTCTTGAACTCCTGGCCTCAAGTGATCCACCTGCCTGGGCCTCCCAAAGTGCTGAGATTACAGATGTGAGCTACCATGTCCATCCACCTGCAGACTTTTTACTAAGCACCTACTACAGACAAGGCCTTAGCAACACAAAATTAATTTACAAATAATTTTGGAGATTATTTCAGAAGGTTCACCTTTTTGTTCTAATACCTATCTTTGGACATAAACCTTTTTAAATGCTCTAGTTCTGTGGTTTTTTTGTTTTCTGCTGTTTTTTGTTTTTTTTTCTTTAGATTTCGAATTTTCAATTTTCAGATTTGGGATGTTCAACCTGTATATCATTTTTGCCTGTTAATTACCTTCTTCAAGTTCTCCCTTCACTTTCCCTCCTCTTCTACACAACTTCCCCTTCACCTGTAATCCCAGGACTTTGGGAGGCCAAGGTAAGCAGATTACTTGAGGTCAGGAGTTTGAGACCAGCACAGTGAAACCCAGTCTCTACTAAAAATACAAAATTAGCCTAGTATGGTGGCAAAGGCCTGTAATACCAGCTACTTGGGAGGCTAAGGCAGGAGAATCACTTGAACCCAGGAGGTGGAGGTTGCAATGAGCTGACATTATGCCACTGCACTCCAGCCTGGGCAACAAGAGCAAAACTCTGTGTTAAAAATGAGTAAAAAATCAAAGCAGCCGGGTGTGGTGGCTCACGCCTATAATCCCAGCACTTTGGGAGGCTGAGGCGGGTGGATCACGAGGTCAAGATATTGAGACCATCCTAGTCAACATGGTGAAACCCCGCCTCTACTAAAAATACAAAAAATTAGCTGGGCATGGTGGCGCATGCCTATAATCCCAGCTACTCAGGAGGCTGAGGCAGGAGAATTGCTTGAACCCAGGAGGCGGAGGTTGCGGTGAGCCGAGATCATGCCATTGCACTCCAGCCTGGGCAACAAGAGCAAAACTCTGTCTCAAAAAAAATAAAATAAAATAAAAGCAATGGATTAGTGGTAAAAATGTCCCAATTAACTTAAACTGTATGATAGTGTTTCCCTATTCACTATTTGCTTTCTTTTCCTCAGAGACAGGTCCCACTCTTTTGCATAGGTTAGAGTGTAGTGGCACAATCATAGCTCACTACAGCCTCTAACTCCTGGGCTAAAGTGATCCTTCTGCCTCAGCATTCTGGGTATTTACTTTTTTTTTTTCTTTTTGACCAAAAAGTTATAAACAACCAAAGCAGGTAAAAAAAATAGAAAAATAAAAAAGACAAATCAAAAAACAAAATAAAATAAAGGACAAAAGGAACTATATATAATACATGTAGAGGAAAAAACATTAACAATAAAAAACTAAGATCACAGAAATAGACCATAACCTTTCCTTAATACATTATGAAAGTTAAATCTTTAAGAGGAATATGCTACATGCTTTGTTCCCAGTAAACTTTACCACAGTATAGTTAGATATGATTGTGGCACATTCTTTTCAGGGTCTTATGTATTATTTGGAAACACAACTAATGCAGCTTCTCATTTTGAAGAAAACCCATGATAAATTTGACATCAACAAGTCACATAAGCTGTAAGCTCCCATTTCACAGTGTAATCGATTAGTACTATCTAAAGCAAGTAATTCCAAAGGTGTACATAAGAGCAATGTTAATTCAAGGACATCCATAGGCTCTCTCAGATGTCTTAGCATTCGGTCATCCGAGGGAATCTGGATAAAATAAATTTTTGCAAAGATAATGCATCCAGAAAAGACGCCACCAAATGATCTGTTTAGGACATACCCAATTGCAGCAGGGGTCAAGCGAGTGTGCAACTGAGGGGTGGTAGAAGTAGTGGTGGTTGTTAGGGAGCCATCAGTTCCAGTCTTCTCCCAGTCAAAAGGGTCACTCTCAATTACTCCAAAAGTCTTGATGCTATTGTCAAACACGGATGTAAGAAGCTAAACCACAAAGAAAAAAGCTAGAGTAAGTGAACAGTAAACACAGTCACTTTATTCTGTAAGAGAAAGCCCACCAGACGCACAAAATGATTTTGTAATGTGATTTTCTTTAAAAACTGATGGTTCAAACAGAGAAATCTAAATAAGAAGTATAAGTGGGTGATGATATGAATTAATGTTGATTTTTCTCAGTTGTGTAGAATGTTTCTGTTTTTGAGAGATGCATAATGGAGCCTCATATCTATAACCTACTCTCAGATGGTTTGTTGGATGGTTTGTTTAAAGGATGTGCATCATGTATAAGTGTATATATTAGTGTGCATTCAGTTGAACCATCCATTTTATCATTTATTTGTCAAAACAAAACAAGGACATTTTTATATGTTTTAACCTAAGAAAGTAGCCAGCATTAACAGTCTAGGTAAGGGGAATATAGAAGTTAACTGTGCTTTTCTCCATTTTTTTTACAAGATTAAAAAATTCTTAAAACATGCATGTGCATGTTTGTGTGTCTCCATAAACAAATTATCAAAAAGTTTCTCTATTAGTTTGATTCATAAATTCTGTATAATTTCATTTTTGTCTTTAAATTCCTAAAGTTTGATGTGATCTTGAGAAGTATCTCCTAAGAGACCTTTATTGTTTCTGTCAGTAGGCACCATTTCCAATTCTATGATTATAGCTTCATTCTTTCATCCTTTCTGTAACTCTTTTAATATCCTATCCTCTGAGATTCATCTTGTACATTTCCTGCGCCATACCTGAAATCAGCACTTCACTGGAGGATTTTGCACAGGTCTGTTTTAGGCCTTAAAAAGATTACTTTACCAGCCTGGCCAACATGGTGAAACCCTGTCTCCACTAAAAATACAAAAATTAGCCTGGTGTAGTGGCACATGCCTATAATCCCAGCTACTAAAGGGGGCTAAGGCATGAGAATCACTTGACCCCAAGAGGCTGTAGTGAGCTGAGATCATGCCACTGTTCTCCAGCCTGGATGACAGAGTGAGATCCTTTCTCCAGAAAAAAAGAAAAAAAAAAGGTTACTTCGGTTATTTAGTGGTTAATAGATGCCATAATCAAGTATGGGAATGAGGGTACTTGGAACAAATGACCAGTTAAGAAACTACTGTCAGCTGAACCAACATAGTAACAGTAAAGGTGATAAGAATTGGACATACTTTGGAGGTATAGCCAGCAGACTTTGCTGAGAGAACAGCAAAGTCTGTGAAAGTAAAGAAAGAATGAAAGGTACCTTAGATTTCTGTCCTGAGCCACTGGGTCAATGCAGTAAAATAGAAAGCAGTGAGTTTAGGGAGGAATACAAAATGCAGATATAAACTTGGGTGTCATCAGCATAGAGATATCAAGAGATACTGGCCACGCACAATGGCTCATGCCTGTAATCCCAACACTTTGGGAGGCTGAGGCGGGCAGCTCACTTGAGGTCAGGGGTTCAAGACCAGCCTGGCCAATATGGTGAAACCCTATCTCTACAAAAAATACAAAAATTAGCAAGGCATGGTGGCAGGTGCCTGTAGTCCTAGCTACACAGGAGGCTGAGGCACAAGAATTGCTTGAGCCTGGCAGAGATTGCAGTGAGCCGAGATCGTGCCATTGAACTCCAGTCTAGGTGACAGAGTGAGACTACGGTCTCAAAAAAAAAAAAAAAAAAAGAGAGAGAGAGAGAGAGAGATGCTATTTAAAGTCATTGAACCAGCTGGTATTATTGAAAGAGAACAGAGAACAAAAACATCCAAGGGCTATGGCCTAGAGTACTCTGGTATTTAGGTGAAAGAAGAAAGGGACTCAGAAAAGGAAACAAAAAAGGAGTGACCAGTGAGGCAGGAAAACCAAGAGTATGGTAATCTAGACTAAAAGAAGAAACCATTTCAATAAGGAGGATGATCAAATGTTATCAGTTATACATGTATAGTTATTTCTGGTTAATTAATTTCTCTCTCTTTCAAAGCAGATTATATTAGCTCCAAGATGCTGATATTTGTCTGATCTCATCATTGAGTCTCCAAGGTCTCATATATTACCTTATTAATAATATTTACTCTAAAAACATTCCAAGAATACATCTTTATTTGTAATAATATTTACTGACTCACATGACTTGATCTTCCATTTAAGTCTCAAAAGGAAGAATTATCAATATAGAAAAAGAAATGAAAAAGATAAAGGGAACTGGAAAAGGCATGGTTATAAAATCTAAGAAATTTTATTTGGGACCTATTTTTGTTTCTGTAAGTTACCTATGTTACAGCTTAGAATTCTCCAAATGTCAGAGGTAGAGGGCTGTAGAAAACACAAAGGAGGAAACAAAGATGGACTGGAATCTAGAATACGGGAATTGAAGTGCCAGACCTTTGACCCTCTCTCCTAACTCTGAAATCAAGGTTTTCATAGGTTCTCATAGAGTGAGATGCATGCTTCCTGAAAGGTGGAATCCCTATTGAGGAGGCAGCACCTGCCTTGCTATGTGAGCACTTAGACAGCCACTGCTAAATTCTCTGTCTGTTCTGTGCTGCAACAGGAATGATCCTAAATGGTTTTTATGTCAGATGTCCTTTTAACACGGAACTATTTTCTTACATTTATCAGAGTATTGTATGTCTTAGAAAATGTACTGGACCTCAAATTAGAAACATTTTGTTACTATGATGGTAATATTAGACACCAGCAACAGGAGGCAGAAAGACAGAGGTCACAGAACAAAAGAAACAGGAAAGCTAAAAGCACTGAGGCACTTAAAGGCACCCTAGTGGGAACAAATGGTCAGACTGGTAAGAGCTCTGCAGATATTTTGGAGAAAAACATTTCTAATCTAACAAAATAATTTTCTAATTCAGGAGCAGGGTAGCGCTAAATCCTAACCTTCATCAGACAGGAATAGTAGAAACAGGACAAGTCAAGGACTCACTTTTTTTGGTAACTGAATACATTACATCACATTTGGCTATGATAAATAATAAAACCAGAAAACTCTAATTCAGTTAGTCAAATAGACTTTAGAATAATAAAAATTACCTTGTAATTCATTTGAATAGTATACGTAGTGTGTGTGTGTGTGTGTGTGTGTGTGTGTGTGTGTGTTAAATTTAAATAGTCCTCACTCTTTTTTATTTTTTATTATTTTTATTTTTTTCTTGAAATGGAGTCTCACTTTCTTGCCCAGTCTGGAGTGCAATGGCGTAACCTCAGATCACTGCAACCTTTGCCTCCCAGGTTCAAGTGATTCTCCTGCCTCAGCCTCCTGAGTAGCAGGGACTACAGGCATGTGCCACCACACCCAGCTAATTTTTGTATCTTTAGTACAGGCAGGTTTCACCATGTTGGCCAAGCTTTGTCTAGAACTCCTGACCTCAGGTGATCCGCCTGCCTCAGCCTCCCAAAGTGCTGGGATTATAGGTGTGAGACATCGTGCCTGGCCTGTCATTCTTTTTTATACCCCAATATTATTGGGGAAGAAAGCACTTTTCCATCAGAACAGGACTAGCTGTAGCAGTAATTCTCAAACTGGAAAGGGAGAAGGGAAAAATCCAAAAAAAAAATCTTCCAAATGATTCCAACACTTCCCTCTCAAAGGAATGTCCCATATCTCTCCACTGATCATCTCTGAAAATCTAGTATACATCTGACTCCTTCTTTTACTTAATAATATATTCTTAGAAAATACAAATTCATCTATATTTAGAGTCTAAGTTTCTCAAACTAGAGTCACATGTACCCCCAGGGGATGCAGCTATATGCCAGAGAGAATTTAAAGTCACTTGACAAATGTGGCACAGCTTCCTGGAGTATTTTACACAGAGGTATGACATTTATTATAATATTTTATAATACAGTGAGCACAAAGAGGTTAGAAAGCAAAAGGTATATGAACCTTTATGATAAATCAGGAGAATGCAAAGAAATTTTGGCCTTGTGGTTGACACTGTAAGACTATTCTCAGACTTCTTGAGAAATATGCTTATACTTTGCTGCCAGAGGAGTAACTGATGAAATACTGTGAGAAACACCAGAAGCACTTTCTTTGGGAAAGTGAATCTTCTGTAAATGGATGTAGGGAAGGGGGGCAGTTAAGGGAGGGGGAAGCCGTGTGAAAGAGGAGGGAGAACTTGAAGAAGGTAATGAACAGGCAAAAATGCTATACAGGTTGAGCATTCCAAATCTGAAAATCGAAAATCTGAAATACTCCAAAACACTATTTTGAGTGCTGACATGATGCTCAAATGAAATGCTCACTTTGGATTTCGGTTGCTTGACCAACATAATGCAAAATATTACAAAATCCTAAAAAGTCTGTAGTCCAAAACACCTTAAATAAGGGATATTGAACCTGTATTACATTTGTTTGTCTGTTTTTGATACAGAGTTTCACTTTGTTGCCCACGCTGGAGTGCAGTGGCACGATTTTTGCTTGCCGCAACCTCTGCCTCCTGGGTTCAAGTGATTCTCCTGCCTCACTTCCCGAGTAGGTGGGACTACAGACGCGCGCCACCACACCCAGCTAACTTTTTTTGTATTTTTACAAAATAGTAGAGAGCCAAGGTTTCGCCATGTTGGGCTGGTCTTGAATTCCTGATCTCAAGTAATCCACCCATCTCAGCCTCCAAAAGTGCTGGGATTATAGGCGTGAGCCAATGCACCTGGCCCTGCATTGTTTTTTTATTTGGCCACTGTGTGGATTATTTGTGTTAATCCCTCTTCTACTTCCATTTATGAATGAGCAGCAATCCATTTTTCTTAAACTAAAACTGGATGGGATATCCGATACAATGACTTTTCAAAAGCAAATTATTCAAGATACAAAGTAACAAAAGTCAATTACAGCCTGGGCAACATGGTAAAATCTTGTCTCTACCAAAAATATAAAAAATTAGCCAGGTGTGGTGGTGTACACTTCTGGTCTTAGCTACCTGGAAGGCTGAGGTGGAAGACTGCTTGAGCCCGGAGGCAGAGTTTGCAGGGAGCCAAGACTGCACCACTGC